TGCCGGACCGCTTAAAATTTACGAAAACTTTATAGTCGTTTTTCTATTGTATGAGAATCATCTTAAGCTAAGCCTTATTGAGCAAGTACTCGATAATCTATATAGTGTTTAATAACAATAGATTTCGTGTATGGGATCAAAATATTTTTCAAATGTTGGTACATTTTTTCATCAAAATATCATCGCCGAACGCACATATTTAAATATGAAATTAAATATTTAAATATTTTTTGGACTAAAATGCAAAACATTGCAAAAAATAAATTTCCTTCAAAAATATATATAATTAAGAATGGCTCTGCAGGAAAAAAGATAAATATCCAACAAGTGATATATATAAAATATTCTGTATATGCAAATTTGGTGCCTTTGGCATTTTAATCTCATCTGAATTTGGTATATTGATTAAGCATTGGTTACCGTTAACTCCAAGTGCAATATTCTGACATGGGCTTCACATTATGATTTATTATCAATTCTACTGCACGTCTCACAATCCAGAAAGTCCAGAGCTTCGCATTTCATAACTCATTTACGTCTCTGCACGTGTCAACAAACCAAGCGTGACAGCGAAGGCATCCGATGGCATCCACCTTCAGCTAACCACACAAAACACTGATCCCCCCCCACACAAACACACACTGGCTTCGAGCAGAGCTTTCAAACCGACAGTTTCAAACAAACAAAGGCGCTTCATGTCCTAGCTTTTCGGCCCTGGCAATCAATCCAAATGATAAACACATTCGAGACTCTGGCTCAGTTCCGGACTGGCTTGGGCCTATGTTTGCTTAGCTGCCAGGCCAGACAGTAGCCCAAGATTTGATGTATTTGACATATAGACTGCACATCAGTCCTTTGCCGCTATGCCTCGTTTTTTATATGAGGCCAAAGCGCTTGTGGCCTAGCACAATATGTCTCAGTCGGCCGCAGGCTACGTGCTGTGCGAACGGAGTGTGACTGCGTGCTTAACTGGCATATGGCTTCCCCAGTGGATTAGCTATTGATATTTGATCGGACTGCTGGGCAAAGGCAAATTATGCGAGCGTCATGTTCTGCGCTGAAATCCAAATTATGTACATAAAATAGGTTTGTTTGGCGCCCACTTCCAATCTCTGTTTACAAAAATATATTAAAAATGCATTAAATTGTTCTAAAAATATAAATAATGACAACCTGACATTTACTTAAATTAATTAAATGCTGCACAGCTGTCGCATTTGTGACCATTTTTGGTAACTGGCAAATTGGCACGAATTGGACACCAGGCTCGCATCTAATTAAAATAATGAGCTTCTTGGTGTCGCTTTTGACGGAAGTATTTGGGGGGCGTGGCAAAGATTTAGCGGAAAGCTAGCTCAACACGCTACTTGGCACTGTCCTGCCACAAGGCAAGCAATGCGTAACAAAAGGCGCATAAAATAGCAAAATTTACAGCCAGAAAGAGTTCTCTTAATGTGCCATGTCGGCCGCTGCGCACACCGCCAACCAGGACGACATCAGACACCGAGTCCGTCGACACTGAGTCCGGGACTATGTCCAATTTGATGTCTCTTTTGGACGGCTTACGACCGGACCAACAGCAACTGGCGACCGGCGGCTTTTGGCCCTATTTCAAGCGTTTACTTATTGCGGCTTTTAAGAGCTTCCGTTTCGTCACGCATAACGCTTTCAAATGACACGAACATCAAAATCATCAACATTCCCTGAGCAACGACACGATCCGTTACGGCCACGTCTCGGCCCGTGTACAACGCGAGGCATGACCAGGATACGGTCAGAATGTGTCTGCATCTATTAAGTGACAGCCTCTTAAATGGCCACCAGACATAACTACAAAGTGGAGCATGTGTGTGTGTTGTGTGACTAAGCAGTTCGGTCTGTTGGGCCAATGATTAAGGTATTTCATGGGCCGTGTTTGGTCATGTTTGTACATCCTCTGAATGGTGCCGGCCCAACTAGTTGTCTTCGCGACGTGCCGCACTTGGCTACAAGCATATGTAGTTGACTAACATGGCGTATGCATATCTTTTATGAGCTTGTTCTTTTAACAATTGACATAAGCGCCCACTGTCAAGAGGCGGGCCAACATTTAATTTGACGCCAAGTACAACGACGAATGAAATAAAATATATTGACTGCAGTCAGTCAGACAGGCGAGACGAATGAAGCACGGAATAATAAATAAACCGTTTGTGTAATTATCCGAATAGCCACAGCGCGCTGTGCCTAATTGATTGTTTTATTATTGTGTGAGTGTCTTTTTGTTTTTTGTTTTTTGTTTATTTATTTACACAACTCAAATCGCCACAAATCTGAGCACAGAGTCCAAGCCACGTGTGAATCACAGTTGTAATAATATTAATGAAACGCCAGCAACAACAACAACAACAAGAAATTGGCAGCTGGGCTTAAACGCTCGCAAATATTATGGTAAATAAATTGTATTGTAAACATCATCAACACGTTCAATAAGTTGGTAACTTAATTACCAGTGCAAACAATAATATGCAAATACAATGAGAGCATAACACCAGCTCCCCAAATCATATGCAAACACCTAGGTGATGAGCTCAGCATTTAAATCAATGGGTAGCATCTGGTAACGAAAGTCAATGGCAACTGCTTTAATATGTTCTGGGCTAGGATATAACCTGATTCAGTTTGTTATAAATTAGGCATGAGTACATAAACTGCTTTTAGACAGGGCGTCGATTACAGAAAATATCATGACGATTGGTCAAGCGGACGTACGCATAAATTCAGATATTTAGGAAAGCTGTTTCCGTCACAACAACGGAACTTTAAACGTGTGCTAAGAAGGGCCATAGAAATACTTGAATGAAAATAACCTATATTTAGCTTATCTCTGAAAGCTTACAATAGCATGGCAATGTGCAGCCACAAGTTCGTAATCCATTTCTAATTTAGAGTTGAAATTTATCCGATTGCTTGCCATACACACGACTACTCACACTCGCTCGTACATATTTGTATCAACTCAGCTCAAGGGTATCGAAATAATTTCGATATTGGCTGATTTGCGGTGTCTCAACTGACGCCTCACTCCCCTTTCCGACAATTAGTCAGTAATTTCACGCCTGACCTAATAAAACGCAAAAACAAGTATTTGGATAAAAAGCTAAGGCTACTTTGGCAGTTTGACTTTTAAATACTCTAGCCTTGTTGAAAGATTTGTGTTAAAAATAATCTATTCATTGAATTCAAATTAAAACTAAAACAAAACTATATACACGAAAAATATGAAGACGAAAGGTATAGCAAGATAAAAACCAAGCCAAACATATAAAGCCACTGATGCATCATCTGAACATAAGTTTAAGCTCGTAGAACATCGCGTATTCGACTGCTGACATTTGATTTTTCAAATATGTTTAGGAAGGAACAGTACTTGGAATCCGCTTACTCATTCATATATTATATTTTGACTCTCTTATGCTTTGTGGTGCTGGCGAATTAAGTGAGAGTATTGCAAGCTGGAGCAAAATGCTTCCACAATTTATTGACAGTCAGGCTGTTGACGGCAGACAGAAGATTTTGACATTCGATTTCAATATTTCATGCATTTCGATTTCGCACTGACAAGCTGTAATGCGATTTATATTTGGGATAAAACAGATGCGCTGGCAAATGCAATATGGCAGTCAGATTGCTGGCAAAGCGGGTTGAATGCAAGATATTTTTTAAATATTTAACTAAAACTATAATCATGAGATAGGTCAAGCGGAAAAGCAGCATTCTTTGACCACAACGTCAGATGACAACACAGATAATCTAGAAGCCTAATTTCATAAATAAAGTATCTCAAAGGAAACTTTAAATAAATTTCAAGCAGCAAAGTGAAAGCTTTAATCTAGAACTTTCAATTCGTGAATCGTTACCTGTTCAAAATTACCAAAAGTGCAGAAAATACTATATAAATACAATACTTTTGCCCCGGTGCTGCCTACAGATAGCTCTATGGATATCTAGGAATTGGGCAATAATTTATGAAGCTGGCAATGGAGTTGAATATTGTCAAAGCAGCAGGCGGCAAGTTTACAGTTTCGAGCATATAATTAATTGATTAATTAACACAGAATATGATAAATGTTGCACAAGCAGCTGCCTATATTGATGGCTAGCTATTTACACAAATAGCAAATAGAATTCGTACCTAAGCATAATAATAGCTTATATACATCGGTCTGTAGGTCCAGAAGCAGCCACGTGTGACTTTCTTTAGGAAGGGGAAGAGAGCATGAAACTGCCAAGTAATGTAATTATTGCAGAACTATTCATCATGTTTGGTGTCGGGTAGCTGGCACTTAAGCGCTTCGCATCGCCTAAGGCCTGTCAAATGTGGCGTATGCGCAATACCAAAACCGACCCTCACGCTCTAATATATCGTAGGTATTTATGCGCTTTTGTTGTATATTAAACACGGTTATGGCTTGCAGGAAACTATGCGAGAGGTTAACTAATTAGCATGTCAAAGCCATCCATTTTGCAGCTGCCCAGTTATCCGTAGCGCAATCATACAAACCCCCTTGTCATGCCAACCCTTCTTCAGCTCAACCCTCGGGCCGCTGCCGACTTGAATAGCCAAAGGCGTAAATCCCGTTTAATTATGCTCTAACATTCATAAGCTTTACACATACTATAAAATAACCGAGCTCATTTACAAGCACATCACTCGAAGCCAAAGGAATCTCGCTCGTAGCTATTTGAATTTGCTTTTCAGTTGCTTAGGGCAAAAACCAATTTGCTGTCAATGTCATTAAAGGACCTAAGAAATTGGTAGTCGTTAAACAAAATGATCGGACCCAAAGCAAAATTTAAAATGACTTTCATTAAAGTACTTAGTTGAGCGACAGGATAAACAACACATGTGCTCCATGTGAATCTCACAGGAGCTAACCACAAACTGTCTTAGAATGTAGACATTTACAAGTACAGTTTTCTGATCTGGTACCATATTATACAATGTTATTTTGTATTTTTTTTATTATTATCAACAGAAGCGCTTATTATCCTTTATTAAATGTCTGCTTATGTGTACACGTGGTCCCTGTGCTTATATAGGCCAACCTTACCCCTCTTGCGAATGCACCGATTTTTGATTCCAAGAACCTCATAGGGGCGACACGAACGACCGCTTATGAGCAGCCTTCCCGGCATATAAACAAATTTGCGTGGTGTCTTGTGGCCAACAGTATCTTTGGCGTCTGTGCCCTGGACAGTATTACTGTTCGGTTTGGCACTGGGAACTGCTCGCAATATATTTGTTTCATCACTGTTTTCAGCTAGCGCTGGTATGAAGCCGGCCGTTGCGAACACCTTTCTTCCAAGAAGATGGCTGGGCATAACGGCTACTCGCTCGTCGTTGCCGAGCAGGTGCTTCCTTTCTGGCGTGCAACCAAAGGGCGTATGTACTTGACCTTCGGGGCACTCAATGCTGCGTGCCAATCCAGCCTTATCCTTGGCCTCGTCCAGATTCTCATCAGCCCAGGCGCGCTGGAGTATGTGCTGCATATATATATCACGATTGACGCAACCTTTATTGGCGGTCAGCACCTCGGTAGGTTGGCACTTCTCCGCAGGCTTGATCTTGATTTTTGATCGCCGTTGTTTCTGTGGCTTCGTCATATTCGTTTGCTTTTCTTTCGTTGGTTGCACTGTTCGAACTGACTCATCCGGTTGCTTGCTGTTCCTTGGTTGTACCGGTTGTACTGGCATAACCGGTTGTTTCTCTATCTCTGTATTTAGCGGCTGTACCGACTTTTCCGGTTGCTTTTCTTTCGTTGGTTGCACCGGTTGCACTGGCTTGACCGGTTGATTCTCTGCGTGTTGTTTTTGTTGATCCGGCGCCTTCACCGTCACCTGCTTCTCCGGTTGTATTGCTGGTTTGGGCTCGGTATCTGTTCTTGATTTCACCGCTTTTGTTGGCGCTGTCGGTTGAGTTACATTCCCAGCTGGACCTTTTACGGTCGAATCGACCGCCAGCCCAGTTCTGCTTACAAAAAGCAACAGCCCAACACAGTACATGCATTGAGATAGCTCCATTTAGCCACTGTTACGTTTAAAATATTGGCAATAACTGTACTGGTCTAAGGCAGATCTCTATCATGCAAGGGCACAGCTGAGCGTTACGAATCCTTTGGGCGTGCAATCTCAATGCGAAAATAATTAAACTTTCCATTAAATGTCATTGGAGACGCTGCACCAAGGCGAATCAATTTCGTTGTTATTTGGCTTCCAACGACTTATTTACCATGCAGCGCGTCTGCTAAAGTTAGTTGTTATTGTTGTTATTGCCGCTTCGTTTTGCAATCTCAATTTCCCCCACAATAAAATTAATGTTTTACGTAGCCAATTCCGAATCGTTTATTTCACATAAAAATGCGATAAATAAGCGACGCATCCTGTGCGATGACGTCGAGAAAGAAGAAGCCCAAAGGCGGCAGGATAAGTCCCTTAGCTGCTGCTGCTGCTCCTGCTTTTGCTGTTGATATCGCTGTTGTAGTTGTTGTTGGCTTGTGCACCTACAGCTTTGAGTGTTTATAGCACAAACGATGCAGAGGATGTGCTGCGAGGACGTACGCGCCGCGCCGGCTTTAAGCGCGAGACGAACGGGGCAAAGGAGAGCCGGAGCAACTATGGGTTCAGAGTTTAAAAACAAAGTGCGCAGTCCGAAAACAACAATGAATAAGATAAATAGGGTGGCAAAGGTTGGCAGAGCGAGACTGAGAGAGAGAGAGTGAGAGATCCATTGAAAGCAAAGACAAAAGCTGACCTCGTCGCAGCACCATCTCGCTGCTTGTGTCGTCTGGGTTCACCCGCCACAATCACAGCAACAGAAAATACACAAATGCTAACAAGGATGTCGTCCACGTGGACCGCCGAACTTCTTACGTGACTGTTGTTAAAAATTTCATGTTAATGGCCACACGAAGCTTCGCTCCTAACCCTTTGCTATTGGCTCGCGCACATGTGTGCCGCTCTCCGCCCCATCTGTTTGTCTGCATGTGTATGTGTGCGTGTGTGTGTAAAAAGGTCATTGTGGTCGCATATTTCATATTCATATGTCATATTTCGGTCGCACCTTTATGCTAGGTGGCTTTTTTCCTTTTGCTGTCCTTTGCAAATTTAATTTCGAATTGTGCACACGGTCAAAGCGCGAAAGCCAAACCCAGCCTTAGGATAGAGGAAATAATTTTAATTGGCGATATCTTTTGAAACACTTGCCTATATTTATAAACTCCTCGATACAGCAGTAGGAGCAGCAGCAGCAGCTGCTAGAAAAGGGTGCACAATTAAAGGCGGAACATCGTTAGAAAATAAAATCGAAACAACAAAGCGACCACGGCAAAAAGATAGCGCTGAGAGTTCCACTGAGAAAACGACAAAAATAAAATGGACCCAGTACTGAGCGAGTCAAGGACATAATGCGCTTTACTTTCTGCACTTCAGCTCGGCATTTGCTTCACTGCTGTCACTGTCACCTAGCTACCAAGCCCACAAAGGTGACCAGCTGTTCGGGCATTGTTCCTGCGGCCTTTGCAGGACTTTTGGCATTAGCTTTGGCTTTGGCTTTGCTTATTTTTGCGCATTGTTTGAGCTAGTGTTTTTTTCTCTTTATTCTACCCTGTTCCCATTGAAAGTGGGTAAGATGGGTATTATGGTTTTCGGTAAATATATAATGTTGGTCAGTTTCAATAGCGGCGGCGATTTTGCCACCTTCGTCTGTCTGTCTCTTCGTTGATTCTTATGTCCGTAAGAATACACCTTACAAAGATCGAAAGAACTACTGGCCCTATATTTGGAATGCAGGTCCTTCTATTGCACACAGATCATGCCTCAAATCGTCGATAGTTTACACCGTTTCCACGATGTCGATAGGTATCGATATTATATCTCGAAGCACCATGGAGCGTCGTGCTTGAGTGTGTTTGAGTGCAAGTGTATGTATAAAAATGTTTTTATTGTTTGTCACGTCAACTTGACGCCGGAGGCAAGGTATCTCCTAGTTAGGCATTTACGACTCGAGAACTCTTAAGTTGTTTTATTTTGTATTTTTGTAGCGCTTTGAGTATTTTCTATTTGTCCTGGGCCAACGGTTAGTTTGTTTGCTTGTCAGCGCCCCGGGTCTTTGCAAGGGTAATCAGATAAAAGCTTTAGTGTCATTTGGGCCAAGCTACTTAATTGCGAGAAGAGGAGCTATGCAGTTTGGTTGCTGCATTTATTTTCAGCAGATTGAATAAGGCATAGTTACTGCAATGGGACGACATAAAACTCATAGAGAACACTTTCTAATTCATTTGCAAGGAGTCAAGTGGAAACACGTTATGTGTGTTTGCTTGCTCGAAAGTCATGTACGGGCAAGTTATTTGGCTCAAACAACCAATAAAACAAACAACTAACACAAGCTGCACACTCGCACACATGCAAGAACAATAACAACAGCAAGGCAACAGTGTTGGCAATTGTTTTTGCAATGCCCACATCCAGTGCTGCATAAATGTTCATGAGCGCTCATGAAATATTAAATGTTTATGAATTTCAAATGTTACTAACTTCATTTGCATAATCCTTGTGTTTGTCAAAACAACTAGAAAGTGTCACATATCATTTACATGCCGTCTGACGAATAGAAAATGCGACACGCAGCACTCGACACCCGGCACCCGACACACAAAAGACAACATTTAACATTCAAAGGCAACACGAAATATATCGCAAAACGAGCAATGCTCCGATGAACCATGAACCCCAGACCCAGTATAAGACCCCGCAGTAGTGAGCAGAAGTCAACGTTTAGATATCAAGCAATGGCATGCTGCATAATTTATGCAACACGTTTGACAGCTGTAAAAACACATGACTATTTCATAGATATGCTTTGCTTGCAGCGTAAGTATCGGATTCGTTTTATTGGTATCTATTATTTATAGCTATATTAGTTTTAATTAAAGTGCTTATGCACTAAGTTTATGCAATCCCTTACTACCTCAAAGAAATACTAGTCAAACCTTTCAAGAATTGTTAAGAAGCATTGAATAATCCTACAGTGGCGTTCCTGAGCTGCTAATGCCGTCGCACGCAGTGCATTCGGGGAAGCTCTGGGGCTTTTCTCCAACGCACGTGCATACCCAGAAACCAGTTTATTGTTATCGTTATCGTCTTGCCCCGACACTCTGCACGTCACTACCAACTGGCAGTTTGTGCATATTTTATTGCGTCCGTTTCCTGTTGCATTTTTGTTGCATACTTTCAGGCTAATTCGTGCTTCATATTTTTTTGTCCATTGTTATTGCTGTAGCCTTTGCAGTTGGCGTGCATTTTTATTGCAAATTGCTTATGGGAGAGAGTAGCAGCTGCGGGAGCTGCGCCAGCAGCAATAGAAAAACGTCAACTGCTGGCCTTCTTATCGAGCGGCAACTGTTTCCTTGGCTGTTTTGCATTAATTGCCACTCTACGCAGGCTCTGGGTGATTTATGAGCGCAGCTTAGCAGTGGCCACTTTGGCAAATATAAATACCAATAAAATAACCACACACACACTCACACTCACACTCACACACACACACACACAAATACACTCACACACACAAACACAGCCAGGCCGTATGCTCATTCAAGTGTTCGAAATTTATAACACGAATCCGGTTGCCAAACAAGAAATTAAAAGTTTCTGACCCGCACACACAAACTTTTTGCACACGCACATGGCGCAGTGTAAAATTTATTAAACTAACTGCAAATTAGTGCAGAATTACATACACACACAGACACAGTTGACAACACATGTGTGTGCCAAATTTCGGGCGATGAAAAAAAAACTGCTGCATAAATCAAGGCGCCTGCAGCAGGGCAATTGTTAAATAATGTTGCCAATTGGCTAAATACTTTCGTCAGCCCGCGCCGCTACGCATCGCCCTGCGCTTCAGCTTCCACAATATAAAATAAAAAGCGGCGCCGCGTTTGAAAAGAAAAGTAATGCAGTGAGAATTCCCATAGATGGCTGCTTGTCTGCAGCGGGGCGAGCACTTTCTTTTGATGTTTTTCATTTTATTTTATCTTTTTTTTTCTGGCGAAAATTGTAAAACAATTGTTATAAATTTAATGCGCCTTTTTGGTGGCATGTTCTGGGCTTGATAAATGCAGACAATTAGCTAAATGCTTCACTGGCGCCAACAGCCGCCAACTGCTAGACAAGCGTACTGCTCCGGTTCCCGATCTCCGTCAGCCCCGCGCCGCTCCAAAATGACTTAGTCATTGCGCAGTTTTTGACACGCGTCCAAATTAGTTGCTACTGCAGTGCAGACAAGGAAAACCAACAGATGAGTGAGACAGCGGGCTATAGCAGCAGCATAAGGGCGTGGCCAGTACACACAGTTGGAGGTCTTTTATTAATTGCGGCCGGCTGTACTGCAGGCGATAATAAAAGTTTCAAGGTGCTGGCCAGCAAATATTATTAATGCATTTTGTTTGGCCTGAAACTTTTCCGGACGCTCATTGCACTCATATTTTGCCATTGGCCTTGGCAGTAGCTGCCGAAAAGTAAAAGTACATTTCACAATAAGACAGCATATTCAAGTCAAGATATCGCAAATATCATGCTTCGCAATGCTTTGCTTTTCACAAATATTTTGGCAAAGCCACATTCCTATAAACATGTTTTGAATTTGGTATGCGCGCGCGTATATGTGTCTGTGCGTGTGTGTGTGTGATGCACTTGTAAATCCCCTTGGCGCATTGTAATTTCCGCATTATAGAATAGAGGGCATTGAGCAACAAGCGGAAATGGCTTTAAGGATATTGCAATTTTATTTTGGGAAAAAAGGTAAGTCAACCAGCCAGAGGAACTGAAAATATGCAAAAGTGAACAGCACTCAAGCAAGAAGAATGCAAAAGAAATTGTAAAAATATTACCCATTCATATATGTACTAACAACTAACATGTTTCCCAATCGGAATTTTAATGGACAGTCTTTTAGTTACAGTTTCTGTTGAAGATTCAGCTCCGGTTATTGTTAAGTCACATCAGCCTAATCCCGGCCAATAATTTACAAAACTCTCATTAATAGGTTACT